ATATGGAAGTATATAGATATATTGACATACCTAACGGTACTCCACTTGATCCTTGATATGATTGCAGTGCCAGGATGTCGTCGAACACATCGCTGGCACACCGCACAATAGCATCCGAGGCCCCTTCGGTAAAAGCACACATCACCACGGGCAAGAGAACCTATAGCGAACCATACATGAGTCTTACCATCATTTCTACAAATAAGACATTTATCGAGAGATGGCCAAGTAGTCATGATGCAAGTGATTGCGGCCGTGATGATAGACTAAGTCTTTCTCAAGCAGAGATGTGCCAATTACAATATACTATGTTATGGTGACACGACAGGATAGCTGATGTGTAACCCAGGGCAAAAGCACCCATGGCAGCCCTCAAACGAGATGTGGCGTGTAAGGAAGACGAGTGAGGAAATCTTGCGTCTATATTACAGGTGCATACACACACACATCGTATTATATTAGCGAAGAACATGAAGGAAAACAGATCCCTACGGAAATGGACTAAACTAAATTATCTAGTGCAGCATCCATCAACAAAAGCACTTTGAGTATGATTATAAACAGAATGCGCGTATTATTGTTTCTGAGGAAAAATAATTGATGTAGTATCTCATTGCAGGTTTGTGCATAGTTCCACACTATTGTCCTGGCCAAAAATACGTGTGGTCAATCCAACAGAGATAGCCCAGCAATCAGCTAGTGCTTGGTATTACCTCAACCGCGCAGCAGTAGCTAACCATACAACACGGAACAAAAACAAAATGTGTCGTACGTGTGTACACTCATCGATGAACCACTCAGCACACCATTGGCTCCTACCAGAGTCGCCAATACATAGTACGAAACCATCACGCCACAAACTTGTCTCCAGAATTATAATATACCCGCACAACGAAGTACGGATGTACCATTTCGTATAAAACATACCTATCTATAAAACTATGCGATGTTGGTCTCGCACATACCTTGCTCGTATCACACAGCACCTCCATACAACGCGTGCTGTACTGCAGGGATATCTGTTTCCTGCTGGCCACGCCCACGCCATCACTGTCTTTTCCGTCGTTTATTTTGAGTTCGCTGTCCTTCGTATACCAAGTATGAACCAGCTGTAGATTCAGCGTTGACCAGAGCTTCATCGCGTGGTACGTTAATGCCTGCACAATCGCCTGGTTGGGAGTGCTGCTAGAACTGGGAGTGTCGTTTGACGCCTGGTCAATGGAAGTGTGGGGACAGACTATGCGTTAGGCATCAAATCAGCACTAATACACACGACAATATGTTGTGCACCTGAGATGTATAACGGCTATGATTAAGTCAACTAAAGGCAACTTCTTATCAATCTGCCTGGCTAAAAGCATAATAAGTGTCAACTGGGCACACAATATATATATATAAATATATATATGTATATATATATATAAACATATATATATATATATATATATATATATACATATATATATATATATATATATATATATATATATGTATATATGTATATGTATATATATATATATATATATACATATATATATATATATATATATATATATATATATGTACATATATTCATACATATCTATATATATATATATATATATATATATATATATATAATATATATATATATATATATATATATG